ATATATATATATATATATATATATATATATATATATATATGTATGTATATCTTTGAACATTGACATAGAATACAAATTCAAGATTGGCAATTTGTTAACATGAAATTTTGCGACAGGGTTAAACAATAGCGAAAGAAAAAAATGAAAAGTATGAATTCTAAATTCTTCCCCGCAATTAGTGCACCCACGTGGAAGAAATAAAAGTATATACGCATATTAGTTACGTGAGCTCTATATTCACAAATGTTGTGCCATACACAAATGTTGAAAATGAGACACAGTCTAACACAGGGTTCAATATGACGATTTTAATAATTAAAATGTCTAGGTTCGGAGAAGGAGAAAAGACTGGTAGAGAAACTCACCGCTATAAAATTAGACACTTTTAAAGTGGCACATAAACTGATTGAAATGTAATGACATTTGCTCATAGTTAAGAAAATACAATTTTTCCAAACAATTGAAACAGAATAACGTACATCACATTCAATTGATCATTCATAGCGTCATTTCCATTAATATAAAGTACGTTTGCACACTCACCTCACATATATATAATTTTTAATTTTTTATCGATTATGTATCGTTATTTATGAATAAAGTGCAAAACAAATTAAATATTGTTAAATTGAAAATGAGAGAAAGTAGAGGGTCTTATAAAATATATTTGATATCAGATGTAGTTTTATTTGAACTCTGAAATGAATGAAAATCAAGATAGACATTCCATTAAAATAAATAGCGTGCAATGCATAGTAATACGAATGAAAATTAATCATGATTAAATTGTAACTATCGCTATTTATCATTATTCATTCTACTATCATAATCATAATCATCACTATTGTCATCATCGTTGTTGTTATAGTTATAAATGAAATCTTAATGACCGTTCAAGTAGATAGACATTGTAAGCATAGGAAGTAACAATATGTGCGTTCAATCTCAAAATTAATTAGTTAGTGAATTGCGTGAAATTATAACTATGATTATTTATTATCAATAAAAACTAAAGATGGTTACATGATGAATGGGTTTACGGTACGTGAACCGAGATCAATCAAAAGTCACAAAATTTGTTTATATTATTTCTTAAATATATTAATTTAATAAGAAGCGTTCAATTAATACATTTTAGTTAATATATATAAAGTACAATTATTAAACTGCCTGTGCACAAATATGTACAACACAGATTCAAGCGTTAATTTGTTTCGTTATAAAATTTTTATATTATTATAAGGTTGCTATTATATAGGGAAAAAAATCTGTAATAACATCTTGTGTCAAAAAAAATTATGTTTTTTAGGAAATAAGAAAAGTAATAATTTATATCACGTACTGTTATAACCTATCGTCCCTCTGACTGTCAGAAAGTAATGAAATATTATTAAGCTGTTACAGTTCAGTAATAATATAATACTGAGTCTAAGTTTATAACTAATCAAAGTAATAATTGATATCTGTATTGATGTAATATAGATAGGTGATCCATTTCCCAAGAAGAATATTGCAAAGCTTAACAAACTTTCCCTAATGAGGATTCCACATCTTCTCGATGCAAAAATTATCAGAGCTTTATGTGTACTTCACTTCAAATGACCAGAAAACAAAAGTGAAAAAGTTATCTTAAATAGATTTCAAATCTTTAAACACAAAATATAAAAACAATTTCTAAGTTTTCCTATTTATATTGCAGGGACACTGCATAAATAACTTGTTATATAAGTATATTAACAATTATAAGTTAGCATAAAACTACTAGTCTTTCTAACTCTTAATATAATTTATATATAAATATTAAAAAAGAAAAACTTGATAAAGAAATGCATAGTTAATGCCAAGGAACACATTGATAAAAATTATTGAAAAGTTTCAGTGGAAAATTTATTTATTTATACTTCTTGAAACCTTTACAGACCAATAAAAATGGGACTAAACGGAATCTCTTTGTGAAAACGATAATTGACAGCTTCTGAACTAAATTTGAATTCAATAATATACATGACCATTCTGTCCAACTACTTTTTGAAAAATTTATGGCACCTAGATATACATACATGTTCCCTGTTACAATACAAAACATGCCTCATTCCAATAGAGAATTATTGATATTCTTCAAAAATTCTCTTCTGCCATCCTATAGATATGTACCATACATTTGTATTATACTGTTTTCTAAGATTATATTATTGCCAAATGTGCAAAATTAATAAACAAATTTATTGATTATTATTTTACAGAAATGGATGTAATAGTAGGATATTTGACATATAATACATCAAACAGTACATTTATACATCTATCTTCATATAAATATCAATTTTTTTATGCCAAAATGTTCTGCCATTATATTATCATAAGTCTTTAAACTGTTACTATAATTTTCTTGTCTTCAAAATTTTACTCTATCATTTTTAAAAAATCAGCATTGTTATAAAATTCTAAAAATTCAAGGATGTTCTTTATTTAAATTACTATTTTGATAAAAATTTAAAATTATTATATTTATATTAAAGTTACATCCAACATTGTACTTATGTAAAATATGCTTTCTTACTGTTAAAATTCATGTAATATGTATGTATATTTTAATACCTAATAATGACCAAATTATTTATAATTTTTTTTTATTATTATTTTTCTTGATACATACATAATGTTATTATAAACAATTCTGTTTATAATACATTCATAAAGAAAACATAAGAAAGACGACAACTAATTGTCTCTTTCTTTTGAGATATATTAATATATTAAAACGTCTGCGATAAGGTAAATAATTAATCAATGTACGAATAAAATTGAGATTGCTTGTTCTTAAGTTAAATAAATCTCTCTTTTTTGAATTAATATTTTCCTTTTACTGTGAAAAGTATTGAATGTTATAATTATACGAACAAAAAAAAAAATCGCGTGCCATTCGCAGTATTGGAAATGTCAATTAACAAGTAACAATTCGTATATAATCGGTCTGACGATAAGAAAGTCATTATGTATTTTGTATGATGTTACTGATAGATAGCTACTGCATTAGATACAATTAAATGATGTGTTCTTATCATTATTCATAATTAAACTATAGTGTCGTTACAATAAACACAAGACGCGAAATAGTATGAAATGAATATGTGCACATGTGCGACAAGAATGTGAGTGTAGTTCAATTTGTTGTCCTATTTATGATGGACAGTGTGAAGGAAAATTAATATATATGTAAATGTATGTGATGGCTCTACATGGCCTATTATATTACTAGATCGAAATTACTATAGTAAATAATTTAGTATCCAAATTTTCTATAATTTTTATTTGGTTATACCAATTATTTATTTCATAAATGTACATGTAATTCTACCCATTGTACGGTACAGCTCCCATTATAAGTTTAAAATTGAACGATACGTGATATCATATGTAAACCCTTCTTTATTAAAAAAGATATACGATATACAAGTATGTTTTATTAACACTTTGGAATATTTTATTGTTCTTTTATTATTGAATAAGATCGCTTATTATCTCTCTTTTTGTTGCAATTTTGTCTATTCTGCACTAAGCCATTTCATGCCGCGTTAATTTGAATATTGGCGCGATACACACTACCGACAGAAATACCAACTGTAAATACAATACAAACGTTGCGTCATATTGCGCACTGTGTTCCGAGTAGTGTCGCGAATCTCATTTTCGAAAGAGCACGCACACACATGCCGCGTTGTGAAATCAAACCATCAGCCCGCGAAACAAGAGTGCATATATCACGAGCGACAATTCTCAGTGTTCATCGGATGTAATCGGTTTTGGCGCGTTTGGTTGCGTACGTGTCGCGTGACTGTCGATTCACGTCGTATCTGTGCGCGCTCGGTAGGTCAAAATGGCGTGAACCGACCGTACGATTTTAGGTTATCTTTACTCTTGACAAATCAACTGCGGGTTTAGAAACAAAGACGCGTGTCCATCTCTCAGTGATATTTTCTTCTCAAGTGCTCGTTGTAATCTTCCACGTGCGTTTTCAGACCCGAGTTACATGAGTTATGAGGACGGAATGCCCGCAGGCGGTAACAGTCGTTTCCGCGGTTACCCAGCGCGGATGTCCGAGCGACAACAGCTTGCGCTTCTTCTTCAAATGACCTCTCAGGAAATAGTATCAGGTGAGAAGAAAGAATATCTTATTGAAAAAAAAAAGAAACACGCGCGCAATTTAGCAGATTATGAAGTAGCACATAGACAGAAATCAAGCAATAACGCTCCATGTGATTCACTCATGTATATACGCTTTCATACTGAAGAGTTTTAAAGTATTTGGAC